TGACTTTGTAGTCTATGCTAAAAGAAATCTTTAATGAAAGAAATGAAAATTATAAGAATTCAATTGCTAAATCTAAAAAGGTTGAGAGATAAAATAAAAAATTTTAAATGTGACGTTAGGGGCTTATTTGAATGAAATTAAAATATGAGGATTAAAATGTAAAATATTATTGGGGACTAAAATTGATAATTCACAACTAAATAAATTGATCAAATTGTATTAAATCTTCTAGGAAAATAATAAATTATGTTTTTTTTTTAGAAAAGTTAATTTTATAATACTGACTTTTATCCATATGAAATTATGAATTTTCTCCATCTCAAAAATTATGGATTATTATTTAAAAAAAAACCATTTATTTTAGTGATATTTAAGTGTTTTCATTACCAAATTTATAAATGATGAAATTTATTTATTTGTGGCAGATTTTTGTTAGTCACAAATATTTACCTAATTTATAATGACTAATATTGTTGTAACTAATTTATTTATTTTTTAAATTAAATTGTCGATTAATTGTGACAAAAAATTTTGTTACATCTTGTGAATTTTTTTTAGTAACAAACCACATATAGTCACAAAATATATTTGTTACAAATCATAATTTTAGTCACAAGAAAAAAAAAGCATTTGTGACATAAATTTATGTTTTGTAACTAATATTTTTCAAGTAACTAATAGTTAATTTATTTGTGATGATTTTGTCCGTCACAAATTTAAATAGTTTATTTGATAAATTTTTAGTGACTAAATATTATTTTTTTGTCCAAATTATATATTATAATATTAAAAATTAATATTAATGATTATTATCTTAAATTAGTCGCAAATATAAAAAATACTAGTGATCAATTGATAATCAGTTATCATTTTTAGTCACATAAAACCCATTTTTTTGTAGTGGACTGACCACACCGTAGCAAACCAGAGGACAGTCCAGGCACCACTGATTAGTCCCTTTGAAGCAAATTAGAAAGCGAAAATGAACTGGACACTCCGCGGGCGGAGTCAAAAGTCAACCTTCTATTTCCCTAGTTCTTCAATTTTCTTTCATATATTTTTTTTAAGGAACAAATTAAAAAAATTAATGCTTGGCTGTGATATTCTGTTTGTTATTGAGGATAATAAAATGTTCATAGAAGACCCAAAAAATCATTTACCGAAAAAAAAGAGAGCAAATTAGAAAGCTGCAACACATGGTCGTAACCGTCCTATATGTTGCCAGCCAGTTGCCACCTTGATTCCCGACAAATTCTTAGCATGAAATCCACAATTTCCTCGTGTTAGAAATATAAAATAGAAGACAATATGAGAACAAAATATTAATTTTTTTTGTCTTTATTGTATATATAAAAGATTTATATATAAGTTTGTAAAATAAAATATTTTTAAATATAAAATTAATTAACTTAATTATATATAATTAATTATTATGCGAACATACGAATATAACAAATTATCAAAATTTTCTTCACATTTCCCACAGAGCGAATCCGCTCCCTCTTGCAAAAGTTTGCTTTTGTTGGGATTCCTGCAATATTGCCCTCCAAACAAATGTAAAAACCTTTAATGACACCTTCCTAGCTACTCCATATTAGTTTGTACTTGCCATCCGGTTGCTGCTGATGCTCCGTAGATAAAATTTTATACGCTGACTTCACAGAATAACCGCCTTTGCTGTCACGTTTCCATAGCTAGGTGTCTTGTTTGCCTTGTTTAAGCTCGGCACTTCCCAGTTCTGCTTTGAGTTTCTGCAAAAGTTAATTCCCGAACTCCATCCTTCCACACCCTCATTTCTGATACTAGGCATTCCTATCTATTGCTATTTTATACATTCTACTATACTTTTCTTTGAAAGATTTCTCACCTATCCGCACTTTGTGCCAAAAAGAAGTGTTCCTCCCTTCACCTACTGACTTTACAAATCCTTCACTTAACTAACCTTTCCTACTTTGAAATAAGTTATCTAAGCCCCAGAGATCCTTCCATTAATTTGAACTATCTAAATTACACTCACACCCATCCCAGTCATTTTTTATCCCCCCTCTATACAGAGCTTCAATCACTTTTTTCCACAACGCCTCATTCTCATTTACAATTCTCCATTTCCATTTTCCTAATATATAGTGCAGCATTGAATTTTTTAAAGTTCTTTACCCCTAACCCTACTTCCTCCTTACTCCTACAAAAAACCACATCCCATCTAATTCATGCTATTTCATTTTGTTGAGCTAGCCCTCCCAAGTTGGGTGGCTCAACAATGGAGGTGCACCTTGAGTACACGGTGAATGGCAGAAAACTTGGAAAGTTTTTGTTTTGAAGCTGCACAATGTTTCCGACACGGACATTCCTATTCTTGAAGAAAACGGGAAAAGCAAAGTAGACTCCTCCAACTTTAGATATGTTGACATGTTAGTCCCTGATAGGATAATGTTACACCATTCTTGTATCCAAAAGCTCCCTATTTTATCTCTTGTTTAAATTTAAAAGAGCGTAGATGGGTGAGTGCGTGAAAACAGAGTGGGAAACCAGTGCAGAAAATAGAGTGAGGTTGAAAGTAAGTCTCCCTTGTTGATGCTAGAACTTTGAGAGATTCAGATTGTGATCCGAAATTTGTAATCCATTTTCAGTAGTGGATTGTTTTTCATTTGGGCAGGTACCTCATGGTTTTTTCCTATTTGGGTTTTCCAAGTAAAAATTTAGGTGTCCTCTTTATTTTACTTGCTTGCTTATTCTGTTATTTGGTGGTTGATTGTGTCTTTGATTGCTTTGATTCTGGGCATTGAACCATTAAAACCACAACAACTAGTATCACAGCAGGCTGTGCATACAAGGTGTTTGTTGAAATTCCCAAGTGAGATTTGGGTGATTTTTTTTTCATTCCAGCAACCATGGCGGATGAGGAGGATGGTTCAACCATGATTAAGTTGAACACCTCTAATTGCTCTTTGTGGAAGACTTTGATAGAGGACAAGCTATTTTGCAAGGACCTCTATGATCCAATTGAGCACAAAGGTATAAAACCTGCAAAAATTAATGATGCTGATTGGAAAAAGATTGATCGCAAAGCTTGTGGCATAATTTGTAAATGGGTTGACATGAGTGTGATTCATCATGTGGCTCAAGAGAAAGAGTCCTATAAGTTGTGGACTAAGCTTGAAGAGCTATTTGAAAGAAAGAATGCCTTGAAGAAAGCTTCCCTCATTAGAAAACTGGTCAATCTCAAGTACAAGGAGGGCAAAAATGTGTCTGAGCACTTGAATAATTTCTAAGAAATTTTGAATGAACTAGTTATAATGAAGCTGGCCATTGATGATGAGGTACAAGCATTGATTTTACTAAGCTCTCTTCTAAATAGTTGGGAGACTTTGGTGGTAACTTTAAGCAACTCAACAAGAGATGGGGAGATAACTCTGCAGCTGGTTAAGGACAGCATATTGAGTGAGGAATCTAGAAGAAAAGAGCAAGGAATTATGAGTTATGAGTCTGAAGCATTGGTTATTGAGTATAGAGGGAGGAGTAAGCAAAGGTATACTCGAAGAAACAATGACAGACAGTCTCAAGAGAGGTACAACAAGGGGAAGTCCAGAGATAGATCAAAGTCCAAGAGCAGAGTGACTTGTTACACTTGTGGAAAGCAAGGTCTTTATCAAAGAGATTGTTGGCACAATAAAGATAAAAATGTTAGGAAGAAGGTTGATACTCATGAAGAGAAGGAGGCCAAGGAGAACATTGCTGCAATTACTTTTGATGGTGAGGTATACCTGCTGTGTGAGAATGATAACATTGATGTTGCTCATCATGATTCTAGATGGGTTGTTGATACTGCTGCTTCTTATCATGTCACACCAAATAGAGACTGGTTTAGCTCAGAGAAAAAAGGGGATTTTGGCTATTTGAAGATGGGAAACAGATCCGAAACCAAGATTGTGGGTGTTGGTGATGTTTGGCTTGAAACAAACATAGGGTCCAAGTTGCACTTGAAAAATGTGAGACATGTTCCTGAAATACGTTTCAATTTGATGTCTACGAGTATGCTAAATGATGATAGCTACCTTAATTATTTCAATAATGGAACTTGGAAACTCACAAAGGGCACTATGGTTGTGGCAAGAGGCAAGAAGAGATTTTCACTCTATGAAACTCAAGCAAAACAGTGTTAGGGACAGATCAATGTTATAGAAGCTGATGCTACTGAGTTATGGCACAAGAGACTTGGGCACTTGAGTGAGAAGGGACTTCAAATCCTTAGCAAAAAGGAACTCCTACCCGACTTTACAAGTAATCTTTCTAAAACCTGTGTTGATTGTTTAGTTGGCAAGCATCATAGCATTTCTTTTCACACTTTACCCTTGTCTAGAAGAAAATATGCACTTGATTTGGTTCATACTAATGTTTGCTTCATGAAAGATAAAACTCTAGGTGGTGCTACATATTTTGTGACTTTGTGGACGATTTTTCTAGAAAATTGTGGGCTTATCCCTTGTCTAGTAAAGATTAGTTGTTGGAAAAACTTAAAGAATTTCAGGCAATGATAGAAAGAGAAACTGGGAGAAAATTAAAATGCATCAGGTCTGATAATGGTGGTGAATACAGTGGACAGTTTGAGCACTATTGTAGAGAATAAGAAATTAAGCTCGAGAAGACTACTCCTAAAACTCCACAACATAATGGAGTTGCTGAAAGGATGAACAAAATAATATGTGACAGAATTGTCTGTATGCTCTCTCATGCTAAGTTGCCAAAGTCTTTTTGGGGTTAGGCTTTAAAGATTGTAGTATACTTGATCAATCAATCCCCTTTTGCGGTTCTAAATGGTGGTGATGTTCCAAAGAAGGTTTGGTTAGGCAAAGAAGTGTCCTACAAGCACTTGAGGGTATTTGGCTATAGGGCATATGTGCATGTTCCAAAAGAGGAGAGAGTAAAGCTTGATGTAAAGACAAAACAATGTTGTGTTCTTGGCATATGGTGATGAGGAGTATGCCTACAGATTATGGGACTTGAAAAACAGAAAATTAATGAGAACCAAAGATGTGGTGTTCATTGAGAATGAGACGGTTGAACACTCAAAGAAGCAAGATGACAGCAAGCACACTCAAGAAATACCAGACAGTGATTATTGTACTCCTTCAACACCTAAACCGAGTGTTATGAATGATGATCACAGTGAAGTCGATGAGCAGCAAGTTCAAGAGCCTGTTGTTGAACATTTTGTTGAAGAAGAAACACACCAAGAAGAGCAAGTGCAACCACCACAGCAACCTCAAGTTAGGAGGTCCATTGGACTTCATCAACCATCTCGGAAGCACTCCATTGACAAGTATGTGCTCTTGACTGATGGGGGAGAACCAGAAACTTATTATGAAGCTATGGAGAGTGAAAAGAAGAAAGAATGGTTGATGGCAATGCAAGAAGAAATGAGTTCTTTGCAAGAGAATGGAACTTATGAGCTGGTAGAACTTCCAAAGGACAAAAAAGCTCTTAATAACAAGTGGGTTTTCAGAGTAAAGTCTGAAGTTAACAATCCAAATCCAAGGTTCAAAGCTAAATTAGTGGTGAAGGGCTTTGGACAACAAAGGGGCATTGATTATGATGAGATTTTCTCACCAATAATAAAAAATGTCATCTATTCGAGCTATTTTGGCTTTGGCAACTAGCTTGAATTTAGAAATTGAACAGTTGGATGTTAAGACAGCCTTTCTCCATAGTGATCTTGAGGAGGAGATCTATATGAAGCAACCAAAGGGTTTTGAGGTGCAAGGCAAGAAGAATCTGGTTTGTAAATTGAAGAAAAGCTTGTATGGTCTCAAATAAGCTCCGAGGCAATGGTACCGTAAGTTTGACTCTTTTATGGGGGAGCATAAATTCACTAGAATAGAATCTGATTATTGTGTTTATGTTAAAAGGTATCTAGATGGTGATTTCTTGATACTTTTGCTTTATGTGGATGACATGTTGATTGTTGGTCATGACACAAAGAAAATTGCAGCCTTGAAGACTGACTTGAGCAAGTCCTTTTCTATGAAGGATTTGGGTCCAGCAAAGCAAATTCTTGGAATGAAAATTTTTCAAGATAGAAAGAACAAGAAGTTGTGGTTGTCACAAGAAAAATATATTAAAAAGGTGCTTGACAGGTTTAACATGAGCAAAGCAAAACCTATGGGCACTCCACTTGCTAGCCATTTCAAACTTAGCACAGAGCAATGTCTTGCAAGCAAGGAGGAAGCAGAATACATGAAGAATGTGCCCTATGCTTCTACAGTTGGTAGTCTAACATATGCTATGGTATGCACAAGGCTGGATATAGCTCACGCAGTGGGGTAGTGAGCAGATTTTTATCCAATCCGAGCAAGCAACATTGGGCAGCAGTTAAGTGGATTTTCAGGTATCTTAAAGGTACATCTCACATGTGCTTATGTTATGGTGAGCATGAATCTTTACTTAATGGCTATAGTGATGCTAATTTGGGTGGAGATTTGGACTTTAGAAAGTCCACTTCAGGATACTTGATGTTTTATGCAGGGGGAGCAATTTCATGGAAGTCAAAATTGTAGAAAAGTGTTTCATTATCCACTATAAAAGCTAAGTATATAGCTCTTTCTAAAGCAGGAAAAGAGATTGCATGGATGAAGACGTTTTTTGAAGAATTGGGTCTTAAGCAAGAGAGATTTGTGCTGTTTTGTGATAATCAAAGTGCAATTTACTTGAGCAAGAACCCACAGTTCCACTCCAGAACCAAGCATGTTGATTTGAGGTATCATTGGATACGTGATGCAATTGAAGAAAAGGTGCTTGATGTTGAGAAAGTTCACACGGATGACAACAGCTCTGATATGATGACCAAGTCCTTGGTGAGAAGCAAATTTGAGTTTTGCAGATCACAAGCTGGCTTGGTGGAGCCCCCCAACTAGCTCGGGTGGGGGAGATTGTTGAGCTAGCCTTCCCAAGTTGGGTGGCTCAACAATGGAGGTGCACCTTGAGTGCACAGTGAATGGCAGAAAACTTGGAAAGTTTTTGTTTTGAAGCTGCATAGTGTTTCCGACATGAACATTCCTATTCTTGAAGAAAATGGGAAAAGCAAAGTGGACTCCTCCAACTTTGGATATGTTGACATGTTAGTCCCTAATAGGATAGTGTTACACATTTCTTGTATCCAAAAGCTCCCTATTTTATCTCTTGTTTAAATTTAAAAGAGTGTAGATGGGTGAGTGCATGAAAACAAAGTGGGAAACCAGTGCAGAAAATAGAGTGAGGTTGAGAGCAAGTCTCCCTTGTTGATGCTAGAACTTTAAGAGATTTGGATTATGATCCGAAATTTGTAATCCATTTTCAGTAGTGGATTGTTTTTTATCTGGACAAGTGCCTCGTGGTTTTTCCCATTTGGGTTTTCCACGTAAAAATTTTAGTGTCCTCTTTATTTTACTTGCTTGCTTATTTTGTTATTTGGGTGGTTGATTGTGTCTTTGATTGCTTTGATTCTGGGTATTGAACCATTAAAACCACAACACATTTTTCTCCTCACCTCCCCCCATAAGAATTTTCTTTGGATCATAGAGAGAGTTTGTAATATCTCTTTTGGTGCCTTGTAAGTGGAGAAAAAGTATACCGGTAACCTTGATAGAACAGAATTTAAAAGGATGAGACTCCCTTCCTTAAGACAGCCATTTGCACCTCCAAGATGACAATTTTCTCCTGATGCATCCAATCATTAGTCCAATTAGAAATTTTCCTTGGATTTGCTCCAATTGGCACCCCAAGATATTCGAAATGCACTTAGCCAACCACACGGTTTAGCCGCTTAGCCAAAGAGTCAAAGACCTGTTCTTCTACATTGACACCTGATAAGGAATGTTTATAATAGTTTACTTTCAGCCACGAAATCAGCTCAAAACAGCACATAATACACTTAATAGTCTATACGTTGCTCTTTCAGAACCTTCACAAAAAAGTATTGAGTCATCTGCAAAATATAGGTGAGAAATCTCCAAGCCACTTGACCCAATTGGTACTCCCCTAAACGTATTTTCCTTTCCTGTTTTCATGATTAGGACATTTAATGCTTCAGCCAATAAAAGAACAAGAAAGGGAGCAAGAGGATCACCCTATCTCAATTCTTTGACCACCTCAGTGGGACCTCTATTCACCAAGGTAGACACCCTATCTCAATCCTTTGGTCGTCTTAATACTCCTCAGTGGCACTTCTATTCACCAAGTCACCAAAGCTGTAGGCCTTCCTAAATCCATAGTCTCTATTTTTGACGAAACCCAAATCTCTCCTGCATCATGCGCGGCAAAAACTTCAAGTTAGCATTGTCATAAGTCTTTTCAAAATCTGCATGCTTTAAAAATTATAATTGGCCTTCTACTTCTTTTTGCTTCCTGAATGAGTTCATTGATAATAATTATTCCATCTGAAATATGTCCGCCTCCTATGCATGCTGACTGGTCGGGGACTGATAGGGGAATCATAACCTTGCTTTAGGAAAAATCAAATGGACCAAAAGGGAAAAACTCCCATGTTAACTAAATTCTACAAAAATGGAGAAATAATAATAGAAGTTTTGCTCTTTCTTTTCCCCATTTTTGTCAATGTGACACTTGCAGCTGTATGGGACTACGTGGATGACATGAATTTGTGTTAGTAAAACTACCGGATTGACTGACTGAAAAGTTATGAGTAGACTTACCAGACAATTTTAAGAGGAAAAAAAACTTTTAAAACAGGGCAAAACACTTTCTTAAACCCCTAGATTTATCTTAAATTGACACGGGAGCCATTGAACTAAAAATAGTCCAAATAGACCCTCAAATCCTTCAATTAATGCAAATTTGCCCTCAAATCCCCCGAAAGATGCACAACAGCCCTCATTATTAAAGGTGTGAGGTATGCCTTGAAATCATGTTAAAGCTTTTTGAAGTTGGCAGCATATTATGACACCAGTCATGAAGGTGCGTAAATCTGGTATATACCAGAAAATTCATACTAAAAAATTTATATTTGAAAATGCAGTTTTAAAAACTCTCAAATATGCTTTAGTGGTGCTATACGTTTTGGGTTTTTCTCTTGAATTACCATATTATCCTTTTGTACTCCTATAAATATAAAGGAGCTTTTTGAGGGAAAATGGGGTGAGAGTTAGTCGGCAACCACCATAAGAGGAAACAAGGTGGTTCTTTTAGGATCAAAGGGGTTTTCTCGAGTAGAGTGAGTTTGGGTGTACTGGAGACTCTTATCGGAGTATGGTTTAAGTGATTTAGACTATTCAAATCTCTTGTAAATCATTGATTTCATGGTGGATTTGGTGTTCTCCTTCTCTTGTGGATGTTGCTATCGCAAATTGTGGTAGTGAACCACATAAATTGCTGTGTTTGTTGTTTTTTTTTTTTCACTCTATTTTCTTCTTCATTTTTTTGTTGTGCATCTTGATTCAACTCACAAAAGGTTTAATGCATGTGACCTCATGCTATCTATTCTTTTCCTTCACTTAGTCTCAATTTTCACATAAATGCTAATGTAAATCAAAGAAGCCCTTGGATTGTAAAAATTCAGCCAAAAAGGTCCCATGACTCCTTTCTTTTATTTAATATTCTTAGATCGCATAAACTACTTTGACAGGATTTTATTGTTAAAGAAATCTTTTGATCCTCATTAATATCTATGAAAAAAAGTAGAATCAAGGAAAGGAAAATAACATCAGGCATGAGGTCACATGCATGAAAATGTTAATAATGAGAGCTGATTTTCATCTTTTGAGAGGTTTAAGGGCTTATTTACACCATTTTTAATTTAAAAGCTTACAAATTAATTTTGAATAAGTCTGGGGCTTAAAAGGGGCCTAATAAAGTGGTAAAAGATTAATTATTAAATTTAAACACGACACCGTAATTGCATCCCCCAAGGCTCCAGTTTATACTTCCTTTTCCACCCGCCAAACGTATTGGGGAAGCAGCGCGACTTGAACCGTTGAAGCGGAGGGCTGGGAGAGAAACCCAACCAGTTGGTACACTCGACCGTCTGCTGTACAGCTTACCGGCGGAATACTGCGATTTCGGTTCCCAATTGGGAAAATGCAAGCCCTAGTTTGATCCAAATCGCGTACGACCTCTACTCGCGATCTCATCAGAGGTGCCGGAATATCAGTTTCATCAACTTTAATCTCCACTATAGACAGCATTTCCTCAATTTTGATGTCTTTTTTTTTTCTTTCTTTTTATCTTCGTGCAGAGGCAAATACCAAAGAAGCTGATAAGGTCGCTGACCAGTTAGAATCCACCGGTTTCTCTTCCGGTCGTTGCCGGTGATGTTGCAGGTCAGCACTTCAATAAATTTTATTTACAAACGTTATTGAAAGCAAGATACGGATGCACAGTTTTGGTTATGGTGTTTCTTGCTGATTCAAGCTTAGGATTGTGGTTGCACATGTTTTGTCAAATGAATTTGCATCACATGTAGGAATGAGTGAAAAATTATTCAGAATTAGTAAAATTGGTAATTCAAGAGAACGATTTGGCTAAGGGAAGTTGTGAAGGAAGAAGCTAAGTTCATGGAAAAGTTTGGCATGATTTGTGGAATTAGGATATTGAAACTATTTAGTGTTATAGGATAGGCATGTAAGAGTAACAACTAATAACTTGGTTTGGTAATAGCTCGATTTAACAAAACCTAGCTTGCGCAAACATGCTTATACAATGAAGGTACGGTTTTAAACTCTTCAATGAATACAAGCATTTTTCACATAAAGCCACTCGTATAAAATTATGGAATTCTAGAACTGTTACTGGACATCTTTTGGATAGAGAAAACGTAACAGCATTTCACATGACTACTGTAATTTGGATAATAATCTTTTTTAGTTGAAGTAAGAAGTTGTAATTGAAAAGCTTGTGTATAACAAGCGAAAATGCATGATGTTCTT